ACACACACACACACACACACACATTCTTTCCCCTTGATGCCATCTGATTAGTTTAACGTTGTGATGGTGATATTATTTTAAGACAAGATAAGATAAGATAGTACTTTATTATTACAGAGGCAAATTTTCCTTGGCTGTACAGGACCGCAAAAACACATATAATTTATTTTGAATTATATATTACCCTCATTAAAATTTGATGTGAAAAGAGAAGTAAAGCTGACAAAATGTACATTCACATCAAATGCATCATTCAGCCAAATGCATGAATTTAAATACAAGACCTTGGAGTTAAATATAGATACCTACTCTAAGAGCAACACACATCTATGCTCATTCTGACAAAAGCCTTATGCAAGGTAGCAAAACAATTCTTTTGTATATTTCCTTCTTTGTTTTGGGAAATATCTGCCGCTGCATGATCTTACAATTTGAGTGGAAAAGAGATGTGATGGGTCGTTTATAATGCTTTTTATGCCAGCTATAATTAATAGTCAAAACACACGGTCATAATAATTTAGCTTTGTATATGTCAGACTATTGTGATGCTATTGATGCTGCTAATTGAGCTGATAGTTTTACGCATAGATGTTAATTTATTTTTAAACAGAACTCTTGATTAGAAGTAGAGGATCCTAAAAGGGATATGAAAGAAAAAACACTATTAACTTTCATATATATATATATATATATATATAGTGTTTCTTGAAGTTAATGTAAAACCCATCTTCTTCTGCTCAGTTGAGTCACGAGGTGGGCACCCTCTACCCTGTGCCTAATGGAATCAAGATTTCTGTATCAAAATCATACACATTTAATTTGTTAAGAGACAAACGCCCTGCTGCGAAACACTTAACACGTTATTGTTTTAGATTTATTTGTCAGTTTGTTCTTTGGTTTGAGTAAAGAGAACCATTTCAACACAATCAGGATTTTTTGGTGCTGGGAAAAAGTAAGGCAGACAGACAGACAGACAGACAGACAGACAGACAGATAGACAGACAGACAGACAGACAGACAGAC